TTAAGAAAAATTTGACTGAATAAGCGAGAAAAACTAAGGTTGGATATTATTATCATTATCATTATTATTATTATCATTATCATTTTTTTGGAACAAAATAAAATTTTCAGACGTTTTAAGCAAAAATTTTTTGAAAATTTAGTACGTGAGAATAAATATAATGTTTGGATGTGTGTGTGTCTGCGTGTGTGGGTGTACGAGAAAAACAAAGTAATTTTATTTGTATCTCTCTCTCTCTCTCTCTCTTCATGTCTCTCCCACTCTTTCTCTCCCTTTTTAGCTTCTTCCATTTAAACGCGAAAAAAAACAACCGTTTTTCTAACGTATTTTCCTTTGTCTCCCTAATTTTTTTTTTTTGATTCGTGTAACCGACCGATTTTTTTTTTTTTTTTTGGTGTAATTTTTAAAGGAAGAGGTTATTATCATTATTATTATTATTATTAAATTATTTTTTTAGGGAAAATTGAATGCTTTATAGAATAGATTTAAGATATTTAAAATTTTTTTTTTTTGGTTCGTGTCAACAACAACAACAACATTCACTTTCTCTCTCGGAAAATTTTTTTTTTTTTTCGGGACAAATTTTTTATTAAACATATCAACAACGCTCGAAGGTTTTTTTTTTTTTCTTGAATAAGAATAAAAGAAGAAAAAAAATAAAAATTCAATATGGAGAAGAAAAAATTGGTTGTTTTCCCGTCAGAAATTCGGCCTTTAGGTCAAATATTTAATAAAATTTAAAAAAAAAAAAAGAAAAAAAAATCCTATTACGGTTATTTCCTATTCCTTCCTTCCCCCTATTCTTCTTCATTCTTTTTCCACGTCTTTTTTTTTTTTTTCTTAACCTCGAGATAAAATAAACTTTTTTTTTTTTACGTAAAATAGAAAAAAAAAAAAAAAAGGCGGAAAAAGAAAGAGAAAATAATGCGATTTTTAAATCTTAAGCAAAAACCAATGCAGATGATCAAGTTCAAAAGAAAAAGAAGAAAAAGAAAATCTGGTGGGAAATCTTTTAAACCTTTAATTTTATTAAAAAAAAAAAAAAGAAAAAGATGAGTAAAAATAAAAAAAAAATAAAATAAAATGTAAAAAAAAAAGAAAAAAGGTAAAATGGGAAAAGCGTGAAAAGGGAAGTGAGAGAGAGAGAGAAATAGGGGGAGAGGAAAATGATAGAAAGATCGAATAAAAAAGAAAAAGAAGACAAAAAAGTAAAAGAAAAAAGGAGATTCAAAATGAGAAAATGAAGAATTAGCGACCATCTGACGATGCCTACAGCCAGAAAGAGAAAGAGAGAAAGAGAGGAATAGGGAGAGGAATAAAGTGAGAGAGAGAGAGAGAGAGAGAGAAATGTCATCGTTTCTAAATGAAGTTGTTGTTTTAAAATTTGCATGTTAAATTTCCTTTTGACGTTTTTAACCCTTTTTATTTCGTATGAATTAAATATGTATTTTTCCTTTCGGGCCGCAAATATTTCCTACCGTAAAAATAAAAATAAAAAATTTTCCGACGTTATTAAAAAAAAAAATACTAATAATAATAATAATAATAATAATAATAATAATAATAATAATAATAATAATAATAATAATAATAATTTATCGAGAAAAATAATAATAATAATAATAGTAATAATAATAACAACCATTTTCAAACTCGTAAATTAATTTTTTTCCCTTCTTCTTTTTTTTTTTTAAATATGTTTCAATCGTTGAATTTATCCGTGACGTTTTCTTTTTTCTATAGCAAAACGCAAAAATTTCTAATAGCAAAAAAAAAAAAAATTTCCAAAAGCAAAAACACAAAAGTAAATAAAAAATAAAACTTCGACTAACCGACAAAAGCATAATAAAATAATTTTACGAACGTGTAAAATAATTTCAAAAAAAAATGTTAATTAATAAGTAAATAAATTATTAATTTATCGAAAGAATTATTTATTTATTTATTTACTAAGATATTAAATAGTAATAATAATAATAATAATAATAATAATAATAATAATAATAATAATATTTATATATAAATAAAATGTCAAAAACATATGCGAATGATGAGTTTTTTTTTTTTCACACAAAATTCTGACGTACAAAAGAACAGTTTTCAAGTGAAAAACACATATTTATGTAAGTGTCGATTGGTATGGGTGCGCGCGAGAGCGTTTTTTTTACGCACACAAAGAAAAAACATTTATATATATATATAGATACCGTATAGAAAAAAAAAAAGTGAAAAAGAAAAAAAATCTTTTACTCGTCTGACAAATAAAAAAAATATTATTTAATCAATGGCGCGGAAATTTTTCTTTTTCGCGATGTGCCAACCTTCGAAATCGAAAAAAAAAAAAAAAACGAAACGAAACGAAACGAAAGGAAACGAAACAAAATGAAATGAAATGAAATGAAAAAAAAAAAAAGACAGAAGCAGAAGAAAAAAAAAAAAGGAAAAAATTGAACCTTTTGTATCAATGATGAAAAAGAATAAAATCCGTTTATTTTATTTTTTTTTTTGCTGTCGCCTCTTTCCTTTCCCCCCCCACCACCACTACCACCACCTTTAGTTTCATTTCTTTCCTTCCCTTCCCCCTATCCCTCCATCCAATTGCAGAAGACTCCCGTTTTTCTCGTTAATTTTTTTATCTCAAACAGTTCAAATTTTTTTTTTATTATTAAATAAATAAATAAATAAAAATAACGTTACCGCCGTTTGTTTAAACGTTTGAATGCTACTGATTTTGGCACGACAAAACAGAAACACCAGCAGCACCAACGGCAGCACCAACAACGACAGTAAAAAAAATTTTTTTATTTTTTTTTTTATATCTGCCGACGAGATTTGATATGAGAGTTTTAAATCTTAAATATAAAAAAAAAAAAAAAATACCTACTTGAAGCCAAAACTTTTTTTTTTTTTCTATTATCTTAAATAAAAAAAGAAAATAAATAATTGTACGCGGGATTTGGCAACATTGTAAAACGTTGCCAAATTTTTCTACTTTTTCTTCCTCCTTCTGATCCCATCATCGAAATAAAAATTATTTATTTATTTATTTTATTTTTTCTTTCTTTTAAACACTTTAAATATTTAACCGGAAATGATTTCTTTTATTACTCGATATTTTTTTTTTAAGAGAGAGAAAAAGAGAGTATAACAGAAAGAGAGAGAGAGAGACTTTGCCTTAGTTTTTAATTTTTTTTTAAATCGAATCGATTATTATTGTTAAAAAAAAAAAATTCCAGGTTTTAAATGTTAAAAACTGGCAAACTATTAAAAAAAAAAAAAAATGTCGGGGAAGAAGAATTTTTTAAAAAAGGAAAAGAAAGTCATTAAATTAAGGTAAAACATGTAAATTTTATACGAAAATCTTTTTCCGTTGATTTATTACGACATTTTAAAAAAAAAAAAAATGGAAAATTTTTTTTTCGAATTACCTTGAGTTTAATAATAATAATAATAATAAAAAGGATACTCGGGGGTAACTTTTAATTAATTACCTTTAAAAACAAACAAACAAACAAATAAACGGTAGGAGAAAAAAAAAAGAAGAAAGAAAACCTTTTGCAAAATTTAATTATTTTTTTAGAAAATATTAATGTAATTTTTATGACGTCATTAAAAAAATTTTTTTACGTAATAACGTTAACGTCAAATAAATTACGTAAAGATTTTTTTTTCTTTTCTACGTCCGTCATTTTGTTTTTTAATTCGGAACAGTCCAACAACAACGACAACAACAACGGAAACAGGTTTCGATTTTTTTTTTTTTTCCTTTCCGCCATTTTTCATTTTTCTTATTCTTTTTTTCCCGGTAAAATATTTAAATTTTTTTTTCTTTTTTTTTTTTAACGCAAAGGATTTATTTATTCCGGTTTCTTTTTCATCATTTTTCGTCAAAGGTATTTTTTTTATTCTTTTTTTCCTTTTTTGAGTGACGGTTTTGACTTTGGGGTAACATCAGAATGACAAACAACAATTTCAATTTTTTTTTTTTTTTAATACAAAACGTTTGATTCTGTTACTTTTTTTTATTTTTTACGAATAATAATTTCTGTCAATATCATGTTTCGAAATTTTCCTTTTACGTAACGAAGCGAATAAAATCGACTTTTAAAAACAGGAAAAAAGGAAAAAAGTAAAGGAAAAACCTTTTTTCCTTTTTTTTTTTTTAAATAACGCGTAGTAAATATTCGAACGCGAAAATATGCAAAAATAATAAAATTGTTAACTAAATTTATTACAAAAAAAAATTATTTTTTATTACTTTAATTATTTACTAGAAAGAAAAAAAAATGAAATAAATTTTAATTAAAAAAAAAAAATTTCTGCTTCCACGTTTTTTTTTTTATACAAAATAAATCGTGAAATTATTTTTTTTTTTTTTTTACTTTTTGATAAAGTTCAGACAGTTTTCGAACTAATTAAAAAATTTCTGATGAAAAAATTATTATTATTATTCTTATTATTGTTAAATAATAAAATTAAGCGTATATAAATAAAATTTTTCCAACGTGGAATCAGACGATTTATTTTATTTATTCGTTCGTAACCTTTCATAAGGTTTTTTTTTTTTCGGAATACTCCGTGTCGTGTCATAAGAGTGAAAATTCGTACGTTTTTTTTTTCCCAGTAGAAGAAGGAAGGATTTGATAATGAATTGTGGATTTTTTAAAAATTGTTCCACGATAGACATTTTCTAAAGGTACGTTTTTTTTTTTTTTTTCAAAAACTTTACGCGCGTCGAGAAAAAAAATTAATATGGGAAACGACGATTACTTGGAAAAATCAACACGGAAAAAACGAACGGGAAAAAAATATAATTATCATCATCATTATCTAAATCATAATTATTATTATTTTTGATTATCGTCAAATACCAGATCGATTCGTTGTAAAATCGATTGACGTTTCGATTGATCGGATTTCGATTTTATATTATTTTTATTATTATTAATATTATTATTACAACTAGTTATCAAAAAAGGTTTCGTAGATTTTTTCAATTTCATTTTGTATTTTTGATAACTCGTTATCATATTATTCGACTTCATTAACGTCACGTTATACGTTTTATTATAAATTGATGAGCCGTAAACGGGATGTATAGTGTAATTTAATGGACCTGGAAGTTCTTCTATTTTTTCTTTGAATCTTTGACTTTTGGTAAACGTTCCCGTGTTGTTTTCCTTCCACGGTTTGTAATGAGATTTGTCGTAAATGAGTCCTTTTATGTAACTTTTATCTTCGACGACGGAAAAATTTGTCATTTTTCCAAAACGTTTTTCCGTCGTTAAAAATTTATAAGATTTCACTTTTCTACACGGGCAACTTTTTTTAATGTAATCGAGTGACGGAGTGACGTTGTATGAAGCGCAAGACGCATCGTAATCCGATTTAAACGATGAAAATCTTTTTGTTTTAGATGCGAACGACGACGTGGGTTTCGGTTTGGGTTCCGGCATTTCCGGTTCGGCCGGAACGTAAGAACATTTACAAGGTTTTTTTGCAACGTACGGCTTATAATCTGGCGGAAGGTAATATAATATTTTCGGTACGGACGTGTCGAAAGCCGTTTTCCTAACGGCATAAGGTGAAATTTTTTTTTTTATATCGTCAACGAAAGAAGGAATGTTGTAAGCGTTCGGACTCGGATTATCATTTATATAAGTGCGAAAACGTGGAGCGGTCGTTAAAAAAGCGTTCAATTCTTTAACGCAAGATGGTTTGATTAAATAATTCAAAGCCGTTCTCGGATCCGTGTATTCGTTTGGTCCGGGCGTCCTGTGATCCGGTACCACGTATTTTTCTTTTTTCACGCATAATTTTTTCGGTACAGTTTTTTTAACGGTTTTATAACATTTTATTGTATTTATACAGTACTCGTTGGGTGCTGGAAAATTATCGCATATCGCTTTCCTTTCCAATAAGTCCAAATATCTTAAACTGCGTGCATTTTTTTTTCTCCAGCAACGTAAAGCGTTGAGTTTTTCCTCTTGCGAATTAACTCTTGATGCTATGCAATACGTGCCCACTCCGGGAGTGGAAAATTCTTTGACCCTTTGATCTCTCGATGAATATTTACTCCATTGACAACCTTTGTAACACGAACAAAATTTACTATAACTCACGTTGTAAAAAGCGGGTCCCAGCGTCGTGTCGGGATCGTAATAACAACATTCGTGACTTACGCCGTTCTCATCGATATCGTAGCCAACGTGATCGAGATTGGGTATTGTCGGACCGTAACCTTTGAGAGTAAAAGGAACGTTGCAATGATATAAATAACCTATGACTCTCCTATTGTCTTTAACCTCTTCCAAATCTCTTTTTAAAAAATAAGGATCGTACTTGGTCGAAGGGGGTCCGTAAAAATCATTGCTTTTTGGAAATCTCGGAGCTTTGTTACTCAATGATGTGCCCCCGATTATTTTTTTGTTATATTTCGGGTAATATTTATTAGGGGCAGGAGATGAATTCTCAACCATGCTTGTATCTCTTGTCGAACTTGATAAAAATGGTACCCAATTAGCACCGTAACATGTACACAAATTACCGTACGTCACGTTATATGAATTTGCTGACACGTTTGGACCCCCGGATTGATTTATATTTAACAATTTTCTTTCTGCTCTATCGTAAGCCATTTTTTTCTTTCTTTACGTTCTTACACAAAAAAAAAAATTCACGTCGAATAAAAAGAAAATAATATAATAATAATAATAATGAAAAAGATAATTTAGAATTAAAAGAAAATAAAAAAATATTTACTAC